GGGGTCTATCAGACTCTAGATATCTCCTCTGCCCTTACATTATCTAACCTCACCAAGATCTGTGTGATCAGATGCTTTCCCAAATTACAAATGGCGCTGTTTATATCCTGCAAACCTGAAGTGATGAAATGCTCGTAACTTCCGATTTCTTAGACTATAGTGATGATTGGCATCATTCTGGTCTCCAATCAGCTCTATGGTCATTTGGCAGAAACACCGGCTGCATTCTCAGGTTCCCCCTATGGCACAGGATTGCCCAAGAAGGCTGTGGAAGGCAGCGGGGGAGGGGGCATTGTCTCCCGCTGCTTGCAAAAGCAATCCTGCAGCTAATTAGCCACTAGGATTGCATTTACATGAAAGCCAATCACCGTCCTAAAAAAAAGCAATACCTGGATGATGCCTGCAGCTGTAGGCATCATTCTGGTATAACCATTCAAAGTCCAGTGATGTACAAGTACGTTGCTGGCCCTTGTTGGGTATATATGCGATGTTCATTTTTTTTTGTATGCAGCCCGTGGGCTGAATGAAAAAAAAAAAGAGAAAAAAATCTCTGCTAGAAAAAGTGTGTGATATGCCCACCATTAGAATATACAGCCCTGCATCCACCCACTTCTAATGGTGGGCACACATTAGGTTGCACGGTGCCACATGCGCCAGTTCGAAGATTGTATAAATGTCTAAATAGTGTTAGATAATGAGTTTATGTGAAATCTCCATTAATGGATGTAAATAATGTTATAATTACAAGTATATTTTAGTTAGATGGAAATATACAGTATTTAAACCATTGAGTGTTTTGCAGCATCAAAACTTTCTAACGTCAAACGTGTATTACAAGTTCTGGCCTTTTGTTCCCTTAGTATATCTCACATGAGTGGTAAACAGCAGCCTTCTGTGAACTTCCAATCTGGCTGCGCCCAATATTTATTGGCTAGGTACAGTGTCCAATGAGCATTATATTAGCCACAGTACAGACAGGAGGGGGGGGGTCACCCAGCTGGAGCGCTCTTGGTGATGAGACACACAGCAGGCCGGATGACTAAACCTGAAGTTGAGAGGTAAAACTAACTTCATACTTGTATTGTACATTTGTATTTTAAACATGGATTTGTGGGTAAATTGTAAATATCGTATAAGTCAAGAGACTTAAACTGTACATTGTGTTGTAAATAATGCTTAGCGTGTAATTTGTATATATTATGTACCTCTATCAATAAATGTATATTGCAGATGGAACTACCTATTTTGTGCAGGAACTCTCAGATCTAGCTGTGTACATGTAAATACTCCTACAAGGATTGGGGTGTATTCACAAATACATGTAACATAGTCAACAATAGTGACACGCTTGAATAAAAATTGTCCACGTATACAGTAAGTGGTACCCCATATGGAAAAAAGATGACACCAAGTCCCAAACTATATTGCCATTACTCCCCATGTAGTCTGAGCATCCGGGGGCTCCACATGACTATCTTTTCCCTCGTAAATCCGAAACTTATATGTATAGCCTGTTGCCCTCTCACAGGTCTTCTACATCTTAACCCCATATCTGGCACGCTTGCTGGGGAGAAATTGTTTGAATGCAAGGCGGACAGAAAAATTAATCAGGGACTCATCAACGCAGATATTTTGTTGGGGAGTACAGACATCTGAAAATTTTTGGTTAAGGTGATTTATGAGGTGCAGAATTTTGTGGAGCCGGTCAAATTCAGGGTTACCCTGAGGACAAAAGAGTGTGTTGTCGTTGAAATGCATAAAACACATACTCTCATATCTACTCTTGGCCATAGCAGCAGAGAACATGGGCATATGATGAACCGGGTCTATGGACCAATACAACCATAATTAACTTTTTTTTTAGTAATGCCCATGTTGAGGGTTAGGCCCCCAAAAAATGTAAATTTGGAAACTGTAATGGGTTTCCATGCGAATGTTCTGGCAAGGTTTAAATTTAGGTTGGCAGCGAAAAATTGTTGTGCATATAAATTGCTTTGATCCACAATCAATGCATATAGATCTTCTGTGAAAAACAGCTCCAAAAAAATCAAGGGGAGTAGTTAAATTTGCTGTTTCCACCTGAATTCTGTGTTGGGCAGTGAATGGGGGAAGTACAGGTACTGATTCTGCGAACACTGTGGTTTTGTGTGCAATATATCAAGTGACAGTGACCTACTGACACTGCCCTTGCTGGGGGAGAAGGTAAGCGTAGGGGCTAACCGCAGGTGCTGGCAGGTGCCGGGACTGATCCCGCTAATGCTGTGTTTTTGGGGACACTATACTAATTTGAACGCTGGTATAGTGCTGATCTGATCAAAGATATTGATCCGTTCAGACACTAAACTAGCAATGGAGGTTTATTGTGTATGAGCGTGTTCCTGGTAATCAAGGGGTTAAATGTGATTACTGGTGTACTGATGGGCAATCTGATACTATCTGGGAGGGGTGTGAAAACCTTGGGAGCGCGAATCACGTATATATACACGTGATTTTGCGCACCCGTGCTGCCCTGTAGCAGTATTTCTGCTATAGGGCGGTCAGGAAGCGGTTAGTGTTACGGCGCTCCGTAACTTTAATTGACAATTGAGCGGTCATGCAACGCTGCACCCAGGTGAAATTTATGTCCTTTTTTTTCCCACGAATTGAGCTTGCTTTCGGTGGTATTTGATCGCCTGTGCGGTTTTTATTTTTTGCGTTATATTAAAAAAAAAAAAAAAGGACTGACAATTTTGAGAAAAAAAAACGATATTTTGGACTTTTTGCTATAAAACATGTCCAGTAAAAAAAAAAAAAAAAAAAAATTCAAAATCTAATTTAGTCATAAATTTAGGCCAAAATGTATTCTGCGGCATGTCTTAATCCCAATACATGTAAATTAATTGGTTTACGTGAAAGTTATAGAGTCTACAAATAGTGGTATAGATACTGGGATTTTTTTTTATACTAATAACGATCAGCGTCTTACTGCTGCGATCAGCGACTTATGGTAGGACTGCGGCGGACATTCTGACACTGGGAAGGAACTGACTTGGTGTCACTGACATCCCCAGTGACACCAATACAGTGATCAGTGCAAAAAAAAAAAAAAAGAAAGCACTGACACTGTACTAATGGCACTGGGGAGGAAGGGCTGGAGGCAATCAAAGGGTTAACTGTGTGATGGGAGTGTTTTACAAGGGGGCGGGTGCTTCACTGTAAGCACACTGATCGGGACGGCTGTGCTCCGCCATCCCAAGCAGTGTGTCCAAACTGACAGGGAGGAGAGCTGCATTGTAAAGAATCACCGGCCGGGACCCGGTGATTGACACCCGCGGCCGCGATCGGCGGCGCGCGGGTAGGGCAGTCGCGCATGCTCCCCCTACCCGGAAATGCAAAATCATGTGTATATATACACATGATTTTGCGCAGTGGTGCCGCCCTGCCACAGTATAAGTACTGTGGCTGGTCAGCAAGTGGATGAAAAAATGTAAGGCATGCACTTCACAGCTTGCTGCTATTCCAATCTTTAAGACAGGAAATTAAGGAAAATCTCCCATATTGGAACACAAACATTTATATAAACAGCCAGAGGATCAAACTTCCATGCTATCCAGGACTCCAGGACCTGAACAATTTTACTTGTAGAGCCAATTTTTTGTTTTTAAGTTATTTCTTCATTCCACTAGACAGCAGCAGAATACATTTCTATCCACTTATCAGCAATTGCATATAAATTTAGGTTTTTGGTGTCGAGTCGGACAACAACGCAAAATGCAGATGTAATAAAAGACTACATTAAGCTACTGCATTCAAATGTTCTATTCATTCCAGTAAAATAATTAGACTAAACATATTGTGTCTAATCAGCAAAGAAGGAACTGTGGGTTTCATATTTGAATTGTTTCAATCGATATTGCCAAAAGCAACCCATTTGATTCTATTTTTGCTATTGAGTAAAAAAGAACAATCTGATTGCTGTGAGGCTGTTTGTGGCAAGTCTTCCTTCAGACCCGGTTAGAAATGAGAAATTTGATTGTGAATTTCTTTGTGGGATGGGTAATTATATTAGATATTCAAAGTTCTCTGAAAGGGTCTATTCGCACTGGGCTTAAAAGTCAGTTCTTTTGACAGAAAAAAAAACAAACGCTCAGATGGAGAGTTTTTGTACAAGTATTTAGGAGTGTTTAGCTTTTTTTTCTGCCAGAATACTCTAAACGTTGAGCTTAAAGTATTACTAAACCCAGGACCCTGCATTCACTATATCTGGTCTCCCACAGTACACAGAACATGGAAATGCAATTATTTTAGTAAATATAAAACTGCTAATTACCTTTTTTCATCAGCAGTTAAACAGTCTTGTGACTTCTATCAGTTTCTAGAGAGAATGTTAAGCTTGTAGGAGTTTTCATTCTGCTCTAGGAGGATGCAGAAACCCTGACCTCTGTCTGGACAGTGTGGATTGGCAATACACACCAAACAATACACACCAAACTGAGCATGTGCAGAGTGACTCCACACGATATGTCTCATCAGGAGATAAGAGGGGGACACTGGAAAATGGGACTGTCAGAGAAGCCAGGAACAAACAGCGCTTTTACACAATGCAGAGGATTAACCCCTTAGGTTCCACGGTGAGTATAACAAGCATGCTTTTCTTCATATACAGACTGATTTTACTGTTGTGGGTTTAGTAACACTTTAAATTCTGCCTCTAAATGTCCCAATGTGCATGGTCACATAAGATAACATTGAGCTGCTTCTACAGGCAAAATGCAAAACACCTGTAGAAGCAGCATTTACCATATAAGCCCAGTGTCCATGGACCCTTACGTGCTAAAAGAAAAACGTCAGTGCTATAGAAAAGTGTAAAATAAACTCACAAACTGATGAATTATGAGCTGCTAGTATCCTTGCAACCTCCGACAGTCCTGTCCGCACATTTGTGCTTCAATCAACACTGCAGTTAACATTACCATAGCAGCAAGTTTCTTCGTGTTAAGATATAAAGCTGTGGTTCTCACCTCAGAATTAACTGAACTTGAGCTGCCCCAAGCATTGGGTATTCTTCATTAAATGCCACATCTTCACAAGGCCTAGGAGACCAAAGGACGACATAAGGACATGGAAGAAAACCATAGTTTGCTGACATAATCGATGCCTTACCAATACCGTTTTGTGCTTAAGGAAAGTGGAACTTGTATGTCTTTCGTGAGCAGACCAAGTTAATTTTTGTACTACATTTTTAGGTCATTACAGGTAGTATTGAGAAAGAATAGCAAAACACATATTTGGCTAAAGTATAAATGCACTTTCACTAACAATTATGCATTTATACTTGTTCCTACAGCCTGTGAAAAACTTCCAACACAATGAATTACCTTGACTGTAGATCAATCCTGTTTCCAACAGATTGGCCTTTGATGTACACCAGCTGTCCCTGGCCACCACCAGAGAGATGTTTATAGATGGAAGACCTGCTCTGTGTTAAGATGAACATCCGTTGGATGTCATTTATCTAGGTTTTCTTAAGGCATTTGATACTGTACGTCATAAATGTTTAATAATATAAATGATATAGAGGTTGGAATCAAGAGCTCAATTTATTTTACTGATGATACCAAATTATGCCAAGAAGTAACTTTGGCACAGGATGTGGCTTCATAACAGGAAGACTTTAATAAAATAGGTGGCTGGACAGGTACTTGGCAGATGAGGTTCACTATTGTGAATTGTAAGGTTATGCACTTGGGTGACAAATATACATATGCAAATTACACATTAGAAGGGGCTCCCCTGGGAGAGTCGGAAATGGAAGGTTCTGGGGGTGCTTATAGATCACAGACTTAGCAATAGAATGCAATGCCAAGCCACAGCTAACAAAGCTATCAATATATTGTCATGCATTAAAAAGAAAAATCAGTAATTCTCCTTTACAAAAAACTGGTTTGTACGTAACTTAAATATGTAGTTTAGTTTTGGTCACAAATCCTCAGGAAAGTCATTGTTGAATTAGAAAGTTCAGGGAAAGGTGACAAAATTAATAAGGGAGATGGAGCACTTCAGCTTTGAGGACTGATTACATAGATTACAGTTGTTCACTCTCGATTAGAGGCACTTGAGAGGATATAATTACAATGTACAAATATATTAGTTGACTCCAGTAACTGTAAATAAACTGTTTAGTCTATGATCCCTGAAGAGAACATAAACTGAGTTTAGAAGAATTGAGATTCATCCTTAGATTGAGGAAAGGGTTCTTTACAGTTAGAGCAGTAAAAATGTAGAACTCCCTCCCCCAGGAAGTGGTACTAGCAGTGAGAGTCAACCAACTTCAAAAATATTTCAGATGTCTTCTTTAGGAAGCAGAACATACAGGGCTATGGGAATTGTAAGAATATAACATACACAAGTTGAATTGAATGGACCTGTGCCTTTTTTTTAACCTAAGTAACAAAGTAATATAGTAACTCCAGGTGAAGAATGACAAGACAACAGCAGGATATGCTTAGTCAGAAGCTGAAAGCGCTACATTTTTCTCATAGGTTTTTGTGCAAGGTACAAATGTATACATTTTGTTTTTTTGTAAAAGTAGTTCTACTTTAAATTCACAGACCTGTAATGACTAGTGTTTCTAGAACAAAGCATTTTTACGAGTCTATCAGTATGTGGTGCATATTTAGTTTTTCTGTTTCAATTAAGTTTGTTGAAAGTTCACAAAGCATATTGGACAACAGTCAAGATTGTGCATAGTGTACATTGCCTGTAACATGATATTTGAAAGGAGGAGCGAATTCTGTAATTCACCCTCCCTCATTCAGAAATCTTGTTACTTGCAGTTCACACTACGGACAGGCTTTTCTTAATGGTTAAATAGGGGATAGCCCACCCCTTGGGAGCTTCTCCTGTTTAGTTCAGCACAGAGACCCGAACCTATTAACCTCTGCAGTGCTAGAAGTTCACTAGGAAGAGGACCGGACACCCTGCACAGATTTTCGTAGAATCCAGCAGCCTCAACAAGGTGAGATATCCTTCATTACTGGTAAGTTAGGGCTCTAAAGTTGCAGGGGAAAAAAATGTTTTTTTTGATAATATTCACCTTTAAAGGAAGCCCATTAGGATTGACGTCTTTAAAAAAAACGTGCAGGTTCTGAAGCTGTGAATGCTTAAAATTCTGAAGTTACAGACTTCATGCTTGTTCCACATTAGTGACTTACTCAATAATGAAGTTAGGACTGTCTGGCAGCCCTGAAGCCTGCACATTTAAAAACACGTCGGCAACAGCAGCTCCCAAATATCTATTCTCACAAGCTCACTTTTAAAAAAAAGTGCAACATGAGAAAAAAAACAAAAAACACACTTTTCTCCCTCTAAAGTCTTTGATACTTACGGTTTTGCACATGCCTCATATACACCGCTGTCACCAGCCACAGACTCATCTGACACGGCCGCAGAAACACAAGCTCCCTTCTCTTCCTGCATGTCACCTGCTGACTTCCTTGGAAAAGTTACGTCTAAAGCATTACATAAAATGAAACGCAACATTAAAAACAAGAAAATATTATCTTTCTTCATAAAGTACAGAGTCAAACTATAAATTTCACATTTAAAGAATATGTAAACTCAACAACTCATGTTCCTGTACTATGTACTTGTATGAAAAAGTATGCTGTTCTCTTTGTATTTCTTCCTTTGTGTGAAATCACTGGTGTTCCCACCAGTCCCTCTGGTTTTATATTAAAAACTGACCACACTAGGCAGGAGCGCACAGCATGTCGGTCCTCTAGCTGTGCTGGAATTCAGCCTGAAATTCTCCAATGATCAGACCTGTGCTCCCCTAGCACAGTCATTCACTGGGAAGACTAGTGTGCAGCGGTTTCTCCTCCGCAGCTGAGAACAGTGGTTAATGATCACTTCTAAAAACAGGGGAAAAAAACGGTATTTATGTTTTTCATACATATTCTCATATGTTTTGCCTTTCATTTTGATTTTAAACGGAATGGGTTCTTTTAAAAAGGTGAGGGTTTACATATACTTTAAATAAAAATAGTTATTTAATACCTTTTTAAAGGTATTAATAAATTAAATTGCCACCTCTTGGTTCCCAAGCATTATTCCATTGACATTAAGGTTTCTATACACTGAATGAATGATGGCCAAATAGCCTAAAACAGTTATTTATTCTAGAAAAAAAAAATGTCCAGCAAAATTAGTCTGTATCTGTATTTAGAAAAACAGTAGCTGTGGAGGCACATAATAATCTGCATAGCTACTTAAACGTGAAAATAACCCATTATTATTCTGACTTGTAATGGAATAGATGGCATGAATACCTTCTGTTTTAAAGAATGTTCTACTCTGTCAAACCTCAAAATTCACACTGCAACATTATGGCACATATTGTGATTATTTACATTATCCATTTTAGTAGAAAAGCATATTTTTTTTTGCCTTAATACAGAATGGCTGCTGCCAGCCTTCGACCTATGCAGCCTTGATCCCATGGTTTTCTGAGTAACAAATCATTAGCCAGGAAAGATTACCATTTTCAAAGGGTCATAGGATAAGAGGATGTAAAAGGCTGCCCCCATGTACAGTCAAAATTACAAGGCTTTTAAATATTTTAACATGCGTTCAGAAGACTGTTTATGGTAAAGTGATCTTTTTCAAACACATGGATAAAAGCATACAAAAGACTACAGTTCTCGTAGATGCCCAGATGTCCAAAAACATCAGATATTTGCTGCCCAGCCCTAACAATTTTTGACAAATTGAACTATGAACTGTTTAAGCTGCAGATAGACAAGGACTAACAGATCTTGACGGAACAAAGCAACTAGGCAGTGTTGCTCTGTTTCTATTGGTTCCCCAAATATTAAGCAGCACAATAACTGCCTATATCATATTTGCACCATCCTCCTCTACCATCTCCATAGGAATAGACAAAAATAATTGGCTTCTGAGGGTTTGTGTTTATGGAGACAGCATCTGATCATTTTGCCTCAAGATTGGTCTGACTTTACCTGTGCATATGGCTACTCCCTGAACTCTATATGAGGGGCTATACAGCAACAGAAGACAGCTATAGCCAACTGTAAATCTTTATAAAGATTAGAAATCATAATCGAATGCTTTGATGCAAAAAAATGCCCACATTTTAAGAAGAAAAGATGATTAATTTTACTAATTTTATAAATTATGTACAGCTTTTATCTCCATTTTTTTAGCATACTTAGTTTAAGAAAACTCTATTTTCTGCATTATTACATTTGATGCGTTTTGGGAATTCAGCAACTTCCCTTTTACTTTGCTTTATATCAATAAAGAAATATGATTTTGTTTGAAAAGGCAAAGTTCAAAAGAAACCTCCCCCCATTGGTTACATCTCCACTTGTCAAAAGCCCCCTTTATTATCTCGATAACCGTATTTCACCATGCGTCCCACCTCTCAACTTTTCATCCGTAACCTATATTCATAGGCGAGTCTCCTGCAGTGTGCCAAAAGTCTTCATTTAAAGGCACATTGTGAAGTTCCATAAGGGGCTTTCATCCACAACTGAGAAAAGTGTGTTGAAATGCACTGTGCTCCCTTCTGAGCACAACCCTTACATCTTGTTAAGATGTTTAAAGTTCCCTGCATTTGATTGTTGAATGTCTTTCTTTAAGGTGTTACAGGAGAATGCTGATTTCTCTCCCTTTTAATGATAAAGAAGCTTTTTATATAGCCTCGTGTGAAGGGGTGAAGGTGGTGACATGATTTATTGATTACCCGCAGGAATATACGCAGCCGTCCTGAAACTCTGGCAATGACAGACAGTGACTCTGGAAGGACTTCACAGTCATTGTGACTCGCATCATGCCAGCAGGAGTTTGTGTTGAGTCTCGATTAATGGCAGGGAAGGAGGATTCAGATTCACCTTCACCTTGTAAAGGCTCCCTGCTCAGGGCATACTATTAAAAAGGAAGGAAGGGTGCACTTTTAGAACATTTAACACACACACACACACACACACACACACACACACATATACACACACACACATACACACACACATACACATAGTATCTCGCAAAATATTTTTTGTACATGTTTTATTATATCTTTTCATGTGACAGCACTGAAGAAATGACACTTTGCCACAATGTAAAGTAGTGAGTGTACAGCTTGTATAACAGTGTAAATTTGCTGTCCCCTCAAAATAACACACAGCCATTAATGTCTAAACCACTGGCAACAAAAGCGAGTACACCCCTAAGTGAAAATGTCCAAATTGGGCCCAAAGTGTCAATATTTTGTGTGGCCACCATTATTTTCCAGCACTGACTTAACCCTCTTGGGCATGGAGTTCACCAGAGCTTCACAGGTTGCCACTGGGGTCCTCTTCCACTCATCCATGACGACATCACCGAGCTGGTGGATGTTAGAGACCTTGCGCTCCTCCACCTTCCATTTGAGGATGCCCCACAGATGCTCAATAGTGTTTAGGTCTGGAGACATGCTTGGCCAGTCCATCACCTTTACCCTCAGCTTCTTTAGCAAGGCAGTTGTCATCTTGGAGGTGTGTTTGGGGTTATGTTGGAATACTGCCCTGCGGCCCAGTCTGCAAAGGGAGGGAATCATGCTCTGCTTCAGTAGGTCACAGCACATGTTGGCATTCATGGGTTCCCTAAGTAGCTCCCCAGTGACGGCAGCCCTCATGCAGCCCCAGACCATGACACTCCCACCACCATGCTCGACTTTAAGCAAGGCACACTTGTCTTTGTACTCCTCACCTGGTTGCTGCCACAGACACCATCTGAACCAAATAAGTTTATCTTGGTCTCATCAGACCACAGAACAGTTCCAGTAATCCATGTCCTTAGTCTGCTTGTCTTCAGCAAACTGTTTGTGGGCTTTCTTGTGCATCATCTTTAGAAGAGACTTCCTTCTGGGATGACAGCCATGCTGACCAATTTGATGCAGTGTGCGGCGTATGGTCTGTGCACTGATAGGCTGACCCCCCACCCCTTCAACTTCTGCAGCAATGCTGGCAGCACTCATATGTCTATTTCCCAAAGACAACCTCTGGATATGACGCTGAGCACGTGCACTCAACTTCTTTGGTCGACCATGGTGAGGCCTGTTCTGAGTGGAGCCTCTCCTGTTAAACCGCTGTATGGTCTTGGCCACCATGCTACAGCTCAGTTTCAGGGTCTTAGTAATCTTCTTATAGCCTAGGTCATCTTTATTTAGAGCAACAATTCTTTTTTTTCAGATCCTCAGAGAGTTCTTTGCTATGAGGTGTCATGTTGAACTTCCAGTGACCAGTATGAGAGAGTGAGAGTGATAACACCAAATTTAACACACCTGCTCCCCATTCACACTTGAGACCTTGTAACAGGAGTCACAAGACACAGGGGAGGGAAAATGGCTAATTGGGCCCAATTGGACATTTTCACTTAGGGGTGTACTCACTTTTGCTGCCAGTGGTTTAGACATTAATGGCTGTGTGTTGAGTTATTTTGAGGGGACAGCAAATTTACACTGTTATACAAGCTGTACACTCACTACTTTACATTGTAGCAAAGTGTCACTTCTTCAGTGCTGTCACATGAAAAGATAGAATAAAATATTTACAAAAATGTGAGGGGGGTACTCACTTCTTTGAGATACTGTATCTCAAGCAGCTTTCCCAGGAAGGCTGGAAGTAGTTATGAAGATGTAGATAGGCAAGATGTAGTTGCTAATTGTTCCTGATTTCCAGGAATGTTAAAGTGTAACTAAAAGCAAAGCTATTTTAAATTTTGGATAGAGTGAAAGACTAGAACACCCGTGAATTATTATTTCTGTCTGTGCCCCCCTTAGGATAATTTCACACTGATCCTAGCAAAAATGCATATGCGTTACCACTTTTTTTTTTTTTTACAGAACATGTGACTCAAAAATGCACCATGGGTGCTTTTTTGCCACTTTTTTTTTTTTTTTTTTTTCTCAGTGGGGAGGTGCACCAAAAAACCTGCACCAAAACACAAATGGCTTTGTGTGCCATTGAGAAGATGATTAGCTACACCTGATTGAGTTTACAAGTCATTTGTAGGAGGGGGTGTTCCTTTTTCCAACTTGGTGATTTTGGATATTTAAAAAAATATATTTCTGACATGTTGGTGTTCTATCTTCACTTGGATGTTATAAGTTGTACTGAGTAAATACAGCTGGATAAAACAAAAACGGTGTATCTTCATTTCAGGCTGCAAAGCAACAAAATGTGATTATTTTAAGGGGGGGGGGGGGGTGCGATTCTTTTCTATACCCACTGTATGTGAGCCCACACTCAGTTTTGTATACAGTTCAATCAAAATTTAACAGATTGTAAAATCAGCTTATAACAAGTGTGGCTAGCTTTAGCTTTAGCACTTAAGCCTTTTCAGAGACAGGAACTGATGTTTACAGTTCAATATTCCCCCTTATGTAGCACTGAACATGCCAG